TGCAGAAATAGAAGTACAATGATGTACACCTGAAATTTTTACAATGTTATAAACCAATGTTACTGCAATAAACAAAAAATTAAAAAAAAATAAATAAATAAAATAAGTACAAGAGAAGGAGAAAAGAAGGACTCTTGTGTCAGAGTAAATTGAGAACTTCGGCTGCCATTACATCATCCTCTGCATTTTGCTCTATATGTGGATTTTGTGGTATATCCAGCAGTCAACACAAGTGTAATTAGTGTCTCCTCTGTGTGCTGCACCTGAAGCCTCAGCACCTTGATTTTCTCCAGTTCTGTTAAAGGAGGGGAGTTGTTACAAAGATAATGGAAAAGAACGGCCAATAGTCAACTTTCTGTCCACCTCCCATTCTTCCCAGAAGAGGATAAAATCAATTACCTCCTGGCTTGCAGAAAACAGTGTGGATCTTCCCCAAAGTCACTCACCAAGGCTAGAGTTTTACCACAACTGTTTTGTGGTACCTCTCCAGGGAGGGCTACTCATGGCTTAGTCTATGCAAGTAGTACTCCTTGGGGTGGTACAGAGCCAGCACAACCATGCGCAGCCTCCCTGATGAGAAACCTTTCTTGTCTGTTAAATACTCCTGAGTTCTTATGGGCATCCCCACCTCTTGGAGACGCAGTCCTTCACTTACTAGAATTTCCTCTCCATATTTTAGTTTATTATGAGGTCTCAAGCTTTGGCCTAAATATGGTGTTTATCCTTTTTCATTTGGGTATAATTTAGGTTTAAGTGCCTGTGTTCAGAACATGTGCTTATGTGAATGTCTAGGGACTGGCTGGATGGAGGAGTGAACTTTCTTAGGAGCTGTTTTCAGGTAGAATGGAGGGAAGAGTAGTAGGTGTAAGAAGAAAAGTTAATGGAAATTTCACTAATTTTCCACAATATATGTTAAATTAGTAAAATATTTCATCTAATTAATGGAGAGGATGCATTCTAACAGATATATCCATTTATTCAGTAAATATTGTGGAATGACTATTATGTGCTGGGCACTGAGTAGTGAACCAGACATGGCCTCTGCACTCATGGGGTTTCTCTTGGTATAAGCAGATAGATAACAATCAACACAGTGTGCTAAGTGCTGTGGCAGAGGTATTAGAGAGTGGCCTGAGAATTCCTAGAAACGGCAGGTAATCTATTCTGGAGGCCATGCAGGGTGGGAAAAGGATTCCAGAGGTAGCTATATCTTAGCTCAGACCTGAAGAGTGTATAGAAGTTTTCCAGCTATAGGGAGGGTGGGAGCGAGGGCTGGGATAGGTGTCGAGGAGAAGCATGGGATTAGAGAGGATAGAGACTATCCTAAGAAAAAGGACCAAGACTACAGTGGTAATTAGAGCGTAAGGATGGAGTAGTGATATTCATTCAATAATTCTAACCATCTAATATGAGCCAGGTACTTCCTGGATAAATAAAGAACAAGATTTGGGTCCTGCCCCAGATGAGACCACAGATAGTGGAGAAATTATTAACAAAA